CTCATAACGATTATGCGACCTCACACTCTTCTCAATGCTGATCCTGCAATCCTTCACTGGATCGAGTTCGTTGCAGGTACTTCCAATGATATTATACTCTCTCGAGACAAGGTTGTGCTAGCCAAAGCCATGCTCCAAGAGGCTGAACAACGTCAACTCGCGAAGGAAGAGTCACTTGAAACGGGGTTGCACGTTGAGAGGCTGAGAGTAGCTCTTGCTCCGCACAAGATGTTGCCGACGGAGATTTGGAGCATCATTTTCCGGCATCCTTCGAAGATTCTCTGCATCTGGGGTCTTGCGGTGCATTATGAACCTCTGACATTCTCACATGTCTGCTCTCGTTGGAGGATGATGATCAGGTCCGAACCGTCCTTTTGGAATCGCGCTTTCTTGCATCTTGGTTGGGGAGAAAAGGATATGACTCTCATCAAGTTCTGGATAGACAACTTTGTTGTCGATTCACATCCACTTTCACTCTCTATAACAACAACAGATTCATATACATTCGATCCTAAATCTCTGAAACTTCTATTGTCTCAACAAAGAATACGCGGGCTTGACATATCCGAACCGGAGCACTTCTTTACAATGCCGATGCATTCCTTTCCCTTGTTGGAAGATTTGCGTATTTGTGTCTCTTATGATCGCCTGTCCCTTTTTAAGCGTTCTGCATGTTTCGCAGGGATGGAGAAATTGCGCAACTTCACCGTCCATTTTGTCTGTCGTAACGAGGAAAACATGCTAACACAGCCAACATTGCCATGGGGCCATTTGACATCTTTGACTATTCGATTCAACCATGGAAGCGATTTCCTTACCATACCACAGGCAGTTGAACTTCTAAAACGATGCACGAGCCTCCAAAAGTGCAGTATTGGGGTACGAAACACTTCCACACTCAGCCCTTTGACTGTGCATCTCCCGCACCTGACCGATCTTTACTTGGCGCCTTACCGATACGCTTATGAGGATAAGTTCTCCCTCACGCACTGTCTGATCACACCTGCGCTTAGATCACTCACTCTATATGAAAGATTATACAATAGGCCTGCAGCACTTGTCAAGCCAGATATTGGACATGTCGTGCGCCATTCAGGCCATTGTCTGCATACGTTGATCCTGCGATACGACACCATGATTCCAGTGGACATGTACCTCGAACTCCATCTGCTGCCTTGCCTCCACACGCTCAAAGCACCAAGCACCGTTTTTTCCGATGAGACCCTAGACAAAATCATTCAGAAAATTCTGCTGCCCAACATACAAACACTCTTTATAGGCATTGACAGTATCGACTCACTCAGACATCTCACAACACTCGCTGAAACAAAGACAAAATCTTCGCCTCTTGTCCCCCGGCTCCTTTTCCTGATCGTCGTGATACTCAAACGATACGAGGATTCTATGCTGGATTACTCGTACATCCAAGCATGCTCGGACCGTATCCTGGCATGCCGGACAAAATTTGCTTTGCACTTCAGTGACTTCAGTACACAGCGGTGGGCTAATGACACGGTGGTGTGGGGAATTTCTGCACGCCAGTTAGATTTGTATTTAGCGGAAGCTACTTGGAGTTAGGAGAGAGAATCCCTTGACATCGTACAAAGATATGCGGGTGTATAATTGAGCTCGTCTACTTCGAGAATTTCAAAGGGCGGGCGTCGTAGATGTTGTGGTGTGTCAAATATCTGCGGAAATTGAGTTGGTTTCAGTACTGTAAACAACGGCGAGTAAAAAACGATTTGACAACAAATTGCGACCTGCGATGATGGAGAAACCCGCTGGAAGCAAGTCGCAAGCAATTTAGCGGACACTTTGCACATGTTAAGTTTCCAAGGGTCAGCTTTACAATAAGAAACTATGAACACCGCATTGGCGGAAAGGTGACGTAGCCCTACGTAGCCCAGCTGCCAGAGCGGAACTCGGATCTGAATTCGTAAAATTTCCAGTTTAGGTGCTCAATAGAGACTGAGACTGTCTCTTTGATCAAAGTACGCACAGTCATACCTGTTAGTTGCTGACAACAATCATAACGACGACCTATCTGCTACCATGGATCCTGACACTCTTCTCAACGCCGATCCTGCGGTCCTTCATAGGATCGAGTTCGTGGCAGGCACTTCAAACGATATTATACTCCTCTCAAGGCGAAGCTGTGCTGGCGAAAGCCATGCTCCAACTCCAAGAGGCTGAACGACAACCGCTAGCGAAGGAAGATGAAACAGGACCGCACGTTGAGAGGCTGCGAGTCGCTCTTGCTCCGCATAAGATGGTGCCAACAGGGATTTGGAACATCATTTTCCTCCATGCTTCAGAGATTTTCTGCGTTTGTGCTGATGTGGCTGATGAACTTCCAACAATTTCGCATGTGAACCTCTGACGAATTCGCATGTCTGTTCTCGCTGGAGGATGATTGATAGGTCCGAACCATCCTTTTGGAACATTACTTCTTTTCATCTTGGTAGAAGGGAAGATAATTTGGCTCGTGTCTAGTTTTGGAGGGGCAACTTTGTCGTCGATTCACATCCACTTTCACTCTCTATCGATTTATTCTATCGACGCTTGAACAATCCTAAACCCTTGCAGTTCTTATTCTCTCACAAAGAAATCCGCTGTCTCGATTAATGAAGTGGCATTTTGCTTCGAATGCCAATACATTCCTTTCAATTGGAAGATTTGTGTCGATATGTTTCATTTCAAGTCTTATTCTCTCCCGTGTTTCGTGGGAATGGACAACCTGCGCACCTTAGTCCCTCATTTCTCATTGTAGTTCCTCAGGGAGCATGTTTGCACCGATAGCATTGCCATGGGGCAGGCTTACATCTTTGACGATGAAAAACCAATACCTTATCCTATCAGATGCTGTCGGATTGCTGAAACAGTGCACGAGCCTTCAGAAGTGCAGTCTTACTGTACAAAACACTTCTACACCCACCTCTTGGACTGTGCACCTCCCGCACCTGGCCGACCTTGACTTTGAGCCCAGCTGAGACACTTGTGATCACAAGTTCTCGCTCACGCAGTGTCTGATCACACCTGTGCTTAAATCACTCGCTTTACGTGTGGAATTGTGGGCTCGAAGACCATACAAAACGGGAACATATTCCGAGCCTGATATCGGACATGTCTTGCGCTATGTGGGCTCCTCTATGCATACACTGGACCTACGAGCATACAACGTGATTGTAAAGGAAGTAGACCTTCAGCTCGAGCTGCTGCCTTGCCTCCACACGCTCAAAGCACCATTCACCGTTCTCTCCAATGAGACTGTAGAGAAGATCGCTGAGAGGATTCTCCTGCCCATTGGCATTCACGGTATAGACTCCCTCAGACAGCTCGCAACACTTGCTGAAACAAAGCTAAAATCTTCGCCTATTATCCCCCGGCTCCTTTCCCTGATCGTCGCGTCAAACCGTTATACGAGCTTGTCGTTGAAGAATCGAGAATCCTTCAACATATGCTCGAGAATGATTGCGGGACAAAATTGTCTTTGCACTTCCCAAGGCCAGCGTAAGTCATATTAACAAACATTACCAGATAAACTTCTTAGTGATCGCAACAGCCATGCTAATGACATGGTGCGGTGGGGAATTTGCCCACGCCAGTTCATTTTGTATCGAGAGGAAGAATTGTGACACTTTGGGAGGAATCTCGAAACACGAGAATTACGGGGCTGATGTCGTACACTGAAGCATGCCCGAAATGTATCAAGGCGTGCGGGACGGGGGTTTACGTGTCGTCGTGCAACAGAACTAGGGACTGCCTTCTTATCCGCTACTCAATGCGTGAAGACACACATCTGAGGAAGTCAACTCTAACTTACGTGGAACAAGAATCCACTCTCCAAAAAGCACGGCCTCACCTCTCACTCACAGAACGCGTGTGCCCAGTCATTTGACTCTCGCAACGGGCTCTCACCTCATCGCATCAATGGGGTAGTGGTAACCTGGGTCGTTGCCACCGAACATCGACCCGCCGGGGGTTCAATTCCCCCTTGATGCATTTGATCCTTGAAGTGTTCTATCGTTACTTTTTTTCTGCATCTCCAATTCCCATTTCCCACAAAAATATACAGAGTTTGTACACTGAAACTACACTTCCAATAACCAGTCCATCCGAATCCGGATCCCACGACATGCTGCGCGCTCGCAACCTCAACCAAGGACCCGCAACGATACCCTCCGTGCCAACCTTGCCGCCGTCCCTTGTGACGAAGACATACACACCCCCCACGCGAGGGAATACACTTCCGATCTCACAGTCCTTATTGCACTTAATCCTTCCGGATCCCTACCTTCTAAATACACTTCTTTCCGATCCAATCTCCCAGTCTTATCGAATGGTATCTCGCACGTACCCGGGACTTTGCTCAAGTTGTATACTCATCTCGTCACATACTACCACCAAGCATCAATGGGGTAGTGGTAACCTGGGTCGTTGCCACACATACATCGACCCGCCGGGGGTTCAATTCCCCCTTGATGCACTGAAGGTCGAATTCTGTGATTCCAAGTACTATTTTTTCTCTCCTGCTTCTGCTTCCCCAATTCCAGAATACACAACGCACAGCTCTAAACTAAAATCACCCTTCCAATAACCAGTCCATCCGAATCCGGATCCCACGGCACGCTGCGCGCTCGCAACCCAAACCAAGGACCCGCAACGATACCCTCCGTGCCAACCTTGCCGCCGTCCCTTGTGACGAAGACATACACACCCCCCACGCGAGGGAATAGACTTCCGATCTCGCAGTCCTTATCGCACTTAATCCCTCCGGATCCCTACCTTCTAAATACACTTTCCGATCCAATCTCCCAGTCTTATCGAATGGTATCTCGCACATACACGCTCCGCTCTCCCCGGGACTTTGTCAAATCGTATACTCATCTCGTCAAATACTACCACCAAGCATCAATGGGGTAGTGGTAACCTGGGTCGTTGCCACCAAACTTCGACCCGCCGGGGGTTCAATTCCCCCTTGATGCACTTATTCAAAATCAATCAAAGTGTGTGACTTTTTTTTCCCCTTCTCCTTAGGGATAGGGAAAGATACACTTCTTCTAAGCGAATCTTATCGAATCGATGGTATTGAATCGCACGCACGCTCCGCCACCAGGACTTTAATGCCACCTTCGTAACCTCACCTCGTCACTACCTCTAGCAAGCATCAATGGGGTAGTGGTAACCTGGGTCGTTGCCAGCACACATCGACCCGCCGGGGGTTCAATTCCCCCTTGATGCACTGGTAGACCCGAAGAAAAGTTGTTTTTTCTGCACCTCCAATTCCCATTCCCCACAAAAACACACAGAAGCTATACACTAAAACTACACATACAATAACCAGTCTAGACATCCCAAGCCCTCGCTACGCTACGCTCTAAACCCAAACCACACGACGCCGGGACCCGCAACGATACCCTCCGTGCCGACCTTGCCCCCATCGCGCGTGACGAATACATACACGACCCCAACGAGGCCAGGGGGCACATCGACCTTGCCCTCCTCGCGCATCGCAGCAAACACCGTTCCCGTGCCGGACACAAACGCCGCAAACAGCTGCGCGTTCTTCGTGTTCGTGTTCGCGTTTGCGTCGCGTGCGTACTCGAGCGCGATGGTGGAGCCGGGGCGGCACGGGGGGACGTGCAACGTGGGGAAGGCCGATGCGCGCAGGGGCGCGTTGGAGCTGGGGCACGAGCCGGGTACGATGTGCGGTGCGATGAGTGTGTAGATCTGGTTCATGTCGAGCGGGGTCTGGGGACGTCGGCGGCGGCGGCGGCGGTAGCGTGGATTAAGATGAACAGAGTACTAGGCAGGGGGACGCACCTCGAAAGCGGTGTTCCATGCGTTGGAATTACGCACGACCGAGTTTATCCACGCCGCGTGGCGCGCTTTGACGCCCATGATGGACGCGGCGACTGTTTGGTAGGACTAGGTCGCGTGGCGGTGAGGCGTTAGGAAAGGAAAAGAAAAGAAAAGAAACCACCCACGCGGTCCTGGAGGATCCCAACGAACCCATTCCACGCCGCCACCGCGATATTCTCCAACACAAACGCCTTGGCGACCCAATCACCCAGACTCTTGTCCTTCCTACGCGCACGCGGGGGGGCGTTGTCAAGTTCAGCGTTCACGTCCATCACATCACTCAAGCGCGACGTACAACTCATACCGACACGCCCTCGCACCCCCACCCCCCAACGCGCTCTCCAAAAACTGCACATGCGTCCGCGCGTTCCGCGCAATCTGCTCAAAGCGTCGACGGGTCCACACCTCGTGCCCCGCGCCGCGGAACGCACGCACGCCGTAGCGCTCGAGGCCGGACGTGTAGAACGCCACGACGAGGTGCTCGAGCGCCAGCGCAAAGTTCAGGATCTCCGTGTCTGGAGGTGTGCCCGCGAGGGGTGTCAGAGGTCGGGCACACGAGCACGAGGCGCGGGAAACGACAACGACGCACCGGAGGGGGGCGCAGCGCGTCTTGCGAGGGCACGGGAGGGTGCGCGCCGGGGCTGGGGCCGGGGCCGGTTGTGTGCGTGGAAACGCTTGGAGGATGCTTCCATTGCTGGTGGCTGGTCAGAGGTGCCCCGACAATCGGGATACGTACGTACCGCGTCGCGAGCGGCGTTTGCGGACTCCTGCATGAGGTTTCAGCTACGTTGTATGCGCGCGCAAATACGATCAGACCTTTTGGTTTTGCGGCTGGAACGGCGGGAGGGGCGGGGAGACTTTTCATCTTCTGCGGTGCTGGAAAAAAGTAGATGAGCAAGGGCGCACGACGGCAGGGGCGGGCAAACCCTTTGGTTTTGCGGGTGCTGGGGAGGATGAGTATACAAGCAGCGGCAACGCACGACGCACGACGCACCGGCAGAGGCAGGCAAGGCTTTAAAATTCTGCGGTGCTGGAGTGTAAAAGTGAGCCGGTGCGGTGTTGGGACGAAGCGTCACGTACCGCCTAGTTCGATGGCTGGTTTCTTGGCCAACGAGGCGTCGGTGGGCAGGCGGGGTGCGCCGCCGAGGCCTGTAATGTGTCAGAGTGCGTTGAGCGGTGAGTGTAGCACGCACCGTCGGTGGGCAGGCGGGGTGCGCCGCCGAGACCTGTAATGTGTCAGAGTGCGTGGGGCGCAGAGCGTAACACTCACCCCCGAGTTTATTCGTCGGCGCTTTATAAAGGTCAGTGACGATATATATGCGGGGGAATACGCACCGTCGGCGGGGGATATACCGTTTGCGGGGATGCCTCGGAGCGGGGCTGGTGTGTGTTAGAGAGAGCTGTATGCGCGCATAGATACGCACTTTCGAGCTGGATTTCTTTCGTGTCTGGAGGGAGGTCAGCGATGTCGAGGAGAGAGCAGGGTACGCGCCTGGTGGGACGTCGAGGGCCGAGGGGCGTGCGACGACGAGAGCGACGAGGGCGAGGAGGATGGTGGCGGAGAGGTTCATGGCGTAAAAGGACAAGAGGTAGAACGCGAATATATGCACGCGCGACGCGACGTGACGTCGGCAATCAGCGCGGGGTTTGCTGTAGCGGTTCTGTGACTACGTGACCTTAAACCCATATGTTGTTATTTCTCTCGCATCACTCTCCTTAACGACCGCTTAGTTTCCTTTATATACCAGAACATATGCTGTAGTTAGGTAGCTTCTCGCAAATACGAGGACTTACACCAGTTCACTCAGCGAGACTCAACTCAGTGTGCCGTGACTCTAGCCATAAC